TATTTCGTTATTGTATTCGTTTCGTTATCGTTTTGAGGTCGTTTCGTTATTATTTCCGCATGTCTGGGGCAAGTTTTATAGTTGTTTTTGGTTTTCTAAGGGTTTTTATAGTTGTTTTTGGTTTAATTAAGCTTCAGAAGTTCCCCCTGTCCCATTTGGAGGTTTTTTAGCGTATTGCGCGGTCGCGTCCGCCATTAACGAATCGATTCGTTATTGTTTCGGAAATCGATTCGTTATTGTTTTGTAATTTTTTTTCACATTTACGAAATTTCGTAAATATCGAACTTTTTTAAAGGAAAATTTTGTAATTATTTTAAATAACGAAACGCAAAAACCCCCCAAAAACGAATCGATTTTAGAAACAAATTTTTCCGTTGTTACCCAGGCCTACTGACCATTTAATGCAGTTTCAAAACGGTATTGAAGGAAGTTTTTCCACTGTGCAGATGATTACACAGGAAATCCTGGAACCAGTTTGAGACCCAGATGATACTTACACAAACCACAGAGCTTTTGTACGGGTTTGTGGTCTGGTCACTGCAGTTTGAAACTACATTGAATGGTCAGTATAGATGGGGCCAGAGTGTACTCAGAGCAGCTGGGACAGTCTACACACATGTCCCTTTTCAGAAAGCTTAAGAGCCACTTTCTAATCAAGAGTGAGAGCCACAAATTAAGTCATCATTGCCAATGTAAGTTTTCACTTGTTTGCTTTCTCATGTAAGAATCAATACTTGAGGATGTTTTCTTCCAGGCAGGAGAGATTATGGGAATTTCTTTACACAATGATATTTTTTACCTTTTTAGTGTTTCAAGTTTTTGCTTCAAAAATCACTTGTGCAAAAACTTCTTCTTGAAAAGCAGTGTGCACTGTATAGCATCTTGCTTTGAAAACCCAGTGTTCTGGGGCAACCCCAAATTTCATAAAAGAAGCTATGAAATACAAAAAAAAATTAAAATGAAGCTTGCGATAGTTGATGAGTTCTCTTAGAATCATAGAATCAAATCAAAGAGTTGGAAGAGACCTCATGGGCCATCCAGTCCAACCCCCTGCCAAGAAGCAGGAATATTGCATTCAAATGACCCCTGACAGATGGCCATCCAGCCTCTGTTTAAAAGCTTCCAAAGAAGGAGCCTCCACCACACTCCTGGGGCAGAGAGTTCCACTGCTGAACGGCTCTCACAGTCAGGAAGTTCTTCCTCATGTTCAGATGGAATCTGAGGAAGAACTTCCTTACTGTGAGAGGCGTTCAGCAGTGGAACTCTCTGCCCCGCAGAGTGTGGTGGAGGCTCATTCTTTGGAAGCTTTTATGTATCAGAACACCTTTTCCCATCTCGGGAAGGAAAATTTAGTATTATTTATCTTCATAGAGACCAGTCTCTCCCCCCATTAGTGCTGTTTGTTTTTCGAAAGGTATACTATGTACAAAATCATATAGCTTGTATTTTGTTAGTGAATTGTGACAATTCATTTGTTCTATCATCTGTTGTGCTAAGTGTTCAGCTGCATTACAAGTAGTACTAAAACACTTTTCTGACAATTCTGAAGTGAAGACCAGTTATAGGTCAAGTCATACCTGCAGGTTTTAGTGTAGTGAAATAGTACCTTCATCTAGGATACTTTTTAAAATATCTGGCAGTTTTGATATAAATGTCTTATTCTTTTCTCATTTAGAAATTCGGGGCCTTCAACATGAAGTAAACATTTTGAAGGAACAACTGGAAGATTTGAGAAATGCTGTCCTTAGAAATCAAAATGGTGAGAAAATTGAGTAGACAGGTTTGAATGAGACCTGGGTTCGGATTCTAAGATTTTCTGAGGAAACCCTGCTCTTGGTCCCACCTCGCAGGTGGGGCTGGTGGGGACGAGTCACAATGCCTTTTTAATGGGGGTTCGGATTCTAAGATTTTCTGAGGAAACCCTGCTCTTGGTCCCACCTCGCAGGTGGGGCTGGTGGGGACGAGTCACAGTGCCTTTTTAATGGGGGCCCTCAGCTATGGATCTCCCTTCCTAGTGAATTCAGATCAGTTCCTTCCCTCTTGTCCTTTAGAAAGAAAGTTAAAATCTGGCTATGGAACCAAGCGTTTAGAGAATAGTACAGAGCAAGCTGCAGCTATGAATGGAATGGAATGGAATTGGAATGGCTTCTGGATTATGATTTTGGGTCTACGTGCAGTGCTTAACAGCTTACTTAATGTATTTATATGCTATTGTTTTTATGATTTTTAAAATGATTTTAATGCATGCATTTTGCATTTGGAATTTTTTTATGTTTAATGCAGAATTGAATATTGCCCATTTGGAAACACTCTGAGTCCTCTCTGGGGTTGAGACAGAGTGGGGTAAAAATATAGTAAATAAAATACATAAAATACAATAATAAATTCGGAATGCCTGCATTTCTAGATCTATAATGTAAAACTCTAAAGGCTAATTTTATCCAAATGATAGATTGTGGTAAAATGTTTTAAGAATTCTTGAAACTGAAGACACAGGGTACCATCTCACCAAAAATGACAACAATAACAGACTATCCTTGCATCTGGGAAGATGTCATGTCAGGTAGGAAGGTCATCTGAGCATAGTAATTGCAGAAAGCAATGCTGAATCTTGTAGGTAGGTTTGGGCTGTTGCATCTCTATTGCACCAAAATAAGTACCTAAGTCCATACGTGTTACTTTTTTGACAGCCAAGAAAAGTTATTCCACAAGAAAAGCGGGAGCAGCGAAGCAAATCTGTCTCCTCACATGCAGCTCCCTGTCCATGACGCTTTCCCCATCACATGGGGAAAGCATTACCCTTGCGAGCCAGTACAACATGGGAAGCCTCCCATGTTGGAGTGAAAGCATCCAATGCTTTCACCCCGGTTAGGGGCAGGGCCTGTGTCGGAAGTCACACAACATAGCTTGATGTCCAGCATGGGCCTCATCCTCCAGATGGGGTGAAAGCATCCTAGGATGCTGATTTCACTGATGAGGTTGCTAGACAGTGTGGGCAGTATGGGAAATAAATCTTTCTGATTTCTTTATCTTACTTCAAAGTTGAAAATTCTTAGTGAGTTTCTGTTAATCGTCTGAGTTAACTTATTAAATAAAGTTTGATAAACACAGGACAAAAAGCTAATTTTTATCTCATTAATCAGTGGAACTAACGTATAAGTTGACTTATTAAGTTCCCATTGATTAAATGGGTCTATTTTATATGGGATTGACAACTGGATTGAATGGATTCAAATTCAATGGATCTGTTTTATGGATCTGCTTGTCTACATTGACCTAATAATCCATAGGTATCATTTGTTCAATCCTGGATGTACAATCTTGGATGTTTTCATGTTGCACCTCAATCTTTGGTAGGTTGAGATGAAATTCAGTTTAGCTCTGCATTAGGAAAAGTTGGGAGAAGCGTGGAGATTGTGTGAAATCCCTATAGTTTCTCTGCAATATGAACAGGATCAGATCTGATTCAGACCAGTCTGCTATTCACATGGGACACTATTTCCATTCCCCTTCTCTGCACTTATTGTTCATTTTTTTTTAAAAAAAGTCATCAGTGTAATCACTGAAGTGTCATCAGTGGTATAACTATTACCTTCCACATTGTATTTACATCCCCAAGTCTCTGGATTAATTCAACACTAACAAATTGAAGCTAGTTATTTTCAGTTAAGATTAAGGCCTCCTCTACAAATGCATGGTTGGCCATCTCAAAACTAACAGCAGGTTTAGTAGTTGGTTTTATAAACAATAGTTCCCATCGTCTACAAATGTCTCCATCCAAAAGAGCTACAAAACACATTAAGATTCTTTTCCACACTAAAAACCTTAATACTCATTCTGAACTCACTCAGCTTTGTGTTTAAAATATTGCCTTTCTTCATTTCTAAGACACATTTTCCATATAGAGATCTCTTAAATCATATGTACTCTTTACACATAAAAATAAAACTCATTTTTTCAGTTGTTGGTCCTGAAATTAGTGTGTGTGTGATAATCAATAGTGTCTTAGAATGGAAGAAATAGTAGTTGTCTTATTGTGTGATGAGGTAGGATGAGTTCAACTTGTGCTCAGCAGCAAATGTGACAACATGCACTGGGCTTCCTGTTAATTGGTTAGTACGAGCTATCTATAGCTCAAACTTGAAACTATATTAAATTATTTTTTTCTTTCCTGTACTGGTTTAGCACATGGGCTGTATACGAATTTTAATCTAAAAAGTACCTTTCCCGGGCTGTGGTCTCATCTGATATAAGTCAGATTCTTGTGTTATATTTCTAGTCTTTCCTTTTGTGGCTTTAAAATTTTAAAATAGGGAGCTGTCTAGTTTAGCAGTTTCTCTACTCAGATACACAAACTTTCAACACCAAACTAGGAAAACGTTTTTCCTTAAACACTGCATATCAAGCTTAACAAGCTTAAAATGACAGGATCTAAACTTAATAAACATGTAACTTGTTCTTTGTGTTCTTAGCTCACTTATTCCCAAATGGAAAAAGTGTTCTCAGAAAGCTCTTCAAAACCGATGGCTCCCAAGGCAGCTTTGAGTCTTCCAAAGCCACTTGTTTGCAGGCTGGAGGTCAGTTGGCCTCCCCAAAGACACTTGCTGAGAACTCGGCCATCCAACAAATAGTAGCTCGGCATAACAAGGCAGCATACCTGGGAATGAATGACTTGCAGTCAGAAGGAACATATAAACATTTGAATGGTGATGAGGTAATATACACAAACTGGGCAACCGAAGAACCAAACAACGCCGGAGGAAAAGAGGACTGTATTGAAATTTACCTGGATGGCAAGTGGAATGACAGGTCCTGCACTGAAAGACGGCTAATTGTCTGTGAATTTTAATATCTCTGTAACTGTTGTCCTACACACAAATAAAACCTAGTATAAGTTCTTAAAATTGGGAATTCATAAAGCTAACACTGAACAAGGATTTGGTACCTGCCATCTCAAGATGGCCTATTTCTCAGAGCCTGCAAGGATTTTTCCTTTTATATATATATTATGTTAATGACATAAGAGTTGATATGTTTGATTAGTGGTTTGGAGACCAAGGTTCAAATACAGAGATACCTCAACTTATGATCAACCCAACTTGTGAGGGGTTTTTTTTTTTTTTTGAGATGTGAGCCATTGCTTAGCCTTTATAAAAATGGAGATGTGAGCCAGATCTGAATTATGAGTTGCAGGATCCGGTGACGTCACACCCAGTGGTGAGATCCCTCATTCTGCAGAGGAGACAGAGAAGGAGGGGTGGCCTCCTTGCATGTCCCGGTCTCCCCAACATGACCAAGAAGGCGCCCTCTCACCTGCCGGCCTTCCTGCCCAGATGGTGATGTGGGGCTCCGAAGGGGACAGGGCTTGCCTCGGCTCCCTCAACCCCAGCAAGGCTCAGTACTTAGCTGAATGGGTCTGGTGTGCCACTGCCGTACAGGCTTCCCCTGTTGAGTCTTCAACTGAAAGGAGTTAAATGCTGAGTCACTGAGCTGCAGCCTGGCAAGCATCAGTGACTAGGTGCTTGACCTCTTCTTCAAAAGAGAAGAATGGGGGGCAGGGTAGCCTCCTTGCCTCTCATCACCTACCCCAGTCTCCCCAACATGGACAAGCCCCACTGGATGCTGGCACGTGCCTCAGAGCCCACAGCTCATGGGTTAGGTGCAGTAGGATGGCAAGAATTAGGGAAAAGCTGGTGCTGAGGCAGAGCAACCACAGCTCATGGCTTTCAGTGGAGCAGCCAATGGAGGAGAGCAGAACCAAGTCCTATGGGGTCTCCTATGTGAGGTGCCACAAGGAGGCCTCTATATTCGTCTCTAAGATATACTGGCCTGTGACAGAGCTGAAGAGGAAGGAGGGATGCTGGTGAGTGGTGAATTTATGGGTCAATATTCCATGGCATTACCAATCAATTCTAACGCTATCCTGGAGACAAGAAAGTATGTTTAGAAATGAAATAGTAAGTCAGGAGCTATTTAAAAGGCAGGAGAGGCTAGAATAATAATAATAATAATAATAATAATAATAATAATAATAATAATAATAATAATAAAACTTTATTTACACCCTGCCACCATCTCCCCAAGGGACTCGGGGCGGCTTACATGAGGCCAAGCCCAACAACACATCAATAAAACAAGAAAGCAATAAACAAAAACAATACAATTAATATAAATCACATTTAAATATTAACACACAAGGATTTAAAAACCTATGACGGGCCAAGTGTAATAGTTTAAAATTAAAAATTAACGCTGGGCATGAACAAAGTAGGATATATCTGGTAGGAGGGTTTTAAAAGAAGTGAGGGGAGAGCAATCCAACAAATAGTTAAAGTGCATTCTGGGGACATTTTGCTGGGAATTATTTCCTTATTCCGGGAAGGCACACTGGAACAGCCACGTTTTCAGGCTCCTCCTAAAGAGTGCCAATGTTGGGGCATGCCTGATATCCCTGGATTAATAGAATAGAATTGATTAATAGCATTTCAATGCATAGCAACGGGAAAATTTGCTTTGAGATTAGATCGATTTGAGTTAAGAGCTCAGTCACAAAATAAACTCATTAGTCAAAGTATCACTGCATCCAATCAGCCATGGAACTCCTCTGATTGATTTTGGACAAGTCACACTCCCAGCCTCAGAGGAAGACAAAGGCAAGCCCGCCACCCCATTAGAGAAATCTTGTCCAGAAAGCACTATGATATGTGTATCATAGTTATAATAAGTCAGAATAAACTTGAAGGCACTTCACAACTATATAATAGTCACCCACAAGCTAGTAAGGGTAGGATAATGCTCAGAGACCGAGTTCCCTCCACCTCGCCCAAGATAAATAGGTGTTGAAAATGTTGTTTTAAAAAAAATCCAGTCATTTTTTTTTCCAGTTCTAGTCCATCAGTGGCTACACTTCTCCCTAAATCTTCTCAGTGGTCTCAAATTCAATTGTATGTTTGGGGAGAAAAGTTCAAAGCTAGAAGACAGAAGGAGAAATGGTTTGGGGTGGGAAGGGGTGCTGTTTCTCCTTCATCTCCCTGGCTATCCTTGTGCTATTTTTGCACCTAGGCATTCAAAAATACCTTTGTCATGCCTGTTCTGATATCGACAGAGGTACCTGTAATGGCTAAGAGCTCAAATAAAAGTGCTATGGCTGGCTGTTTTGCAATCCCTTTAAAAAAAAAATGTTTGTTCTGCTGTAATAAATACCTTTGGTTTTCTCCAGTCTTGCTTCATCTGTCCATTTCTTCATCACTGAGTCATTGCTGGGTAATTTAAGGATAAGACTGTGACAAGGAAATGGCTTCCACTGGGACTCACACTGGCATGTAAAGAGTCAGTGAAGCAAGTAGGCAATACTTTCTTTTTTAAAGATCAGGAATTATCAGATAATTGGGAGTTGCTAAATTATACAGACATAGAAGCTGTGAAAGGTAAGTGTGTGACTTTTCTTTCAAAGCTCTTTAAGTAGCAACTTTTTTGCCTGTGTGTTTCAATTAGAAAGGGGCTTTTTAAAATCCTTTTTATGTTCCAGTGGTGCCAAATAGCCTTACATATATTTGACCAAGATAAATGAGAGGCACAGGATTCACGTGACAAGGAAGCAAATCCTGATAGTTGAACATGGGGTCTCAGCAGAGGCGGCCTAGGTAATTTTCAAGGGTATGCAAACAGTATTTTGCCCCCCCCCCAAACCAATCACTGATATATATTTTCTGTTCATCATGGGAGCTCTGTGTGCCATATTGAACCAAATTCCATCATTGGTGGAGTTCAGAATGCTCTTTGATTGTAGGTGAACTATACATCCCAGTAACTACAACTCGCATATGTCAAGGTCTATTTTCCCCCAAGAGCGCCTCAAAAGCGCCCCTGGGCAAAATCAGCTATACTGCAAATGCTTACTTTGCGTAATGGGTTGAGCCACCCCTGGGTCTCAGGGCATATCATAGCATACTAAGGCACACCAGAAGTTAAACATATACTACTGACAGAGTGTAGTACATTGCATTTAAGTACTAGAAAGTTTTAGATTTTTATTAACTGTTATTGTTGTTTGCATTCGCATCTTTTCCAGCTTATGGGTTTGAGTTTTTGTTTTATTTTTTTGGCAAAATATGTTTGAAGGGGATGGACTTGTTGACTCAGTGTCAAGATAAGTGCCAGTTGCAGAAACCAGAACAGGACACAGAAACACAGGATGGAAACAAAGACATGCCTCAGTCACAGCTGCAATTGGAAATAATTCACTTGCAGTGTTATTGGATAGGAACCTCTGTAGGCACAGGGGCAGCTCAACCATTACGCAAAGTAAGCATTTGCTGTAGAGTTGATTTTGCCCAGGGGCGCTCTTGAGACACTCTGGGGGAAAAATAGACCTTGAGATATGCAAGTTGTAGTTACTGGGATGTATAGTTCACCTACAATCAAGGAGCATTCTGAACTCCACCAATGATGGAATTGAACCAAATATGGCACACAGAACTCCCACGATGAACAGAAAATATTGATCAGTGATTGGTTGGGGGGGGGGTGTGCCAAAATACTGTTTGCTTACCGTTGGAATTTACCTAGGGCCGCCTCTGTGTAGGCAGCATAACTCCAGGAAGTCTTGCATGACACAAACTTCTTTTACCCATTTCAAGCGAGCTTTAGAGCAAGATACAGAGTTGAGACTGCTATCATTGCCTTAGTCAGTGATCTCCAGCTTAACACTTACAGAGAAAGTGTGTCCCTGTTAGAGTTTTTATATCTTTCAGTTGTGATCGATTCCATTGATTGTGTTATCTTCTGGAATGCCTCTGGGGTTTGGGAATCAGATACACTGTGTTGCAGTGGTTCCAGACATACCTCTCAGGGAGGTTCCAGATGTTGGTGCTTGGGAATATTTATTTATTTACTCTATTTATACCCCCATCTTTCTCTACCACGAAGGGGACTTGGGGCGGCGTACATATAGGCAATTATTCAGTGCCTTAAAACACACACGATTCCAGGAACATTAACATTAAATTAAATTAAAATTAATACATATAAAGCATTTAAACATTTAAAAACATTACATTCAATACAAATCATGTCACACATAATCATAGTTCAAAGACATTTTGTAGTCATTGCACATATATCTTAATATCTGCTGCTGTTATGTGGCATTCTGCAAGGGGCCATTTTATCTCCAGTGCTTTTTAACATTTACATGAAACTGCTGGGAGAGAACATCTGGAACCATGGGGCTGGGTGCTATCAATACAGTGGTGACAGCCAAATATATTTCTTTGTACCTTCAGAAATAGCTTTAGCTAAGGATAGTATGAAGGATAGTATGGAGAAGGTAATGGAATGGATGAAGAAAAACAAATTGAAGCTGAATCCAGATAAAACAGGATGCTTACTATTAAAGGTCCTAACCTAGGGTTGCAGGTTTGTCCTTCAGTTCTGGATGGTTACATTCTCCCTGAAAGACTGTTCTTAGTTTGAGAGTGCTCCTGGATCCATCTCTCCAAATGGCAGCCCAGATAGATCTGACAGTCAGGAGTGCTTACTACCAGCTTCAGCTGATACGCCAGCTGTGCCCTTTCCTAAAATTGGAAAACCTAAAGATACAAAAGTCAAACCTTGGTAATCTCAAGGTTGGACTTTTGGAATGCACTGTATAATGGGCTACCAATATATATATATATTGGGATACCAGATGTTAGCACATTATATACTTATACTAAAGTAAAAACTGAAATCAAAATCAGATGTCAATGGAATGTGCAGTTTGACACCTCCTTTAACTGCCAATACACAATGCTATGGAATTTATTTATTTATTTATTTATTTATTTATTTATTTATTTACTGTCCTTGTATACCGCCGTTTCTCAGCCTAACTGGCGACTCAACGCGGTTTACAACAAAATATACAGTACACAGTATACAATTAAAACCATAAAAAACATAATACACAATATTACACGTAAATCACAATCCAATACATCTCCTAACTAAAATCGTGGTCCAATTGCATCATCCATATTACCAATTCGTAGTCGACACATTCATTGCACCGAATTAACCAAATGCCTGCTTGAACATCCAAGTTTTTAGTCTTCTTCGGAATACCATCAGCGAGGATGCTGATCTTACCTCCATGGGAAGGGGTGTTCCAAAGCCGAGGGGCCACCACAGAAAAGGCCCTATCTCTCGTTCCCGCCAGCCGCACTTGTGAAGCCGGCGGGATAGAGAGCAGGGACTCCCCAGAAGATCTTAGGGTCCTGGTGGGCTGATAGGCTGAGTTACGTTCGGATAGATAAGTTGGGCCAGAACCGTTTAGGGCTGTCCAGAACCTTGTCTTTGTACTAGGGTTAGGCACACAATTTGGACAAAGCCCAAAATCCAGAGGAGTTGTATGCTCCCTGCGCCCCGCTCCTGTTAGAATCATGGCTGCCGCCCGTTGGACTAATTGGAGCTTCCGGACTGTCTTCAAAGGCAACCCCACGTAGAGAGCGTTGCAGTAATCAAGACGGGATGTAACCAGAGCGTGGACTACCGTGGCTAAGTCAGGCTTCCCAAGGTACGGTCGCAGTTGGCGCACAAGTTTTAATTGTGCGAAGGCTCCCCTGGTCACCGCCGAAACCTGGGGTTCCAGGCTCAGCGATGAGTCCAGGATCACCCAAACTGCGAACCTGCGTCTTCAGGGGGAGTGCGACCCCATCCAACACAGGCTGTAACCCTATACCCTGTTCGGCCTTACGACTGACCAGGAGTACCTCTGTCTTGTCTGGATTCAATTTCAATTTGTTCGCCCCCATCCAGACCGTCCCAGCGGCCAAGCACCGGTTCAGGACCTCGACAGCCTCCTTAGTAGCAGGTGGAAAGGAGTGACAGAGTTGGACATCATCTGCGTACAGATGACACGCACTCCGAAACTCCGGATGATCTCACCCAGCGGCTTCATGTAGATGTTAAACAACATGGGAGACAGTATTGAACCCTGAGGAACCCCACAAGACAAAGGTTGTGGGGTTGAACAGGAGTCTCCCAGTAACACCTTCTGAGACCGGCCCTTGAGGAATGAGCGGAGCCACTGTAAAACAGTCCCTCCAAGACCCATTCCCGCGAGGCGTCCCAGAAGGATACCGTGGTCGACGGTATCGAAGGCCGCTGAGAGGTCCAGCAGCACCAACAGGGACACACTCCCCCTGTCGAGCTCCCGGCGCAGATCATCCACTAAGGCGACCAAAGCTGTCTCGGTACCATGCCCCGGCCTAAAGCCAGACTGTGCCGGATCCAGATAATCCGTGTCTACCAAGAATGCCTGGAGTTGTGAGGCCACCACACGTTCCAGGACTTTGCCCAAGAAGGGGAGATTGGAAACAGGCCGATAGTTGACGAATTGAGTGGGGTCCAGTGATGGTTTTTTCAACAGCGGTTTTATCACCGCTTGCTTTAAGCTGGCTGGAAATACTCCTTCCCGAAGGGAGGCATTAACCACCACCTTCACCCACTCGGCCAATCCCCCTCTGGCCTCCTTCAGAAGCCAGGATGGGCAGGGGTCTAGGATGCATGTGGTAGCTCTCATTCCTCCAAGCACCTTGTCCACCTCCTCGGATTGAACCAATTGAAATGAATCCATCAAAACCGGACAAGCAGATGCTCGTGTTACATCCTCAGAGACTGCCGTTAATATGGTATCCAGACCAGAGCGGATCAAAGCGACTTTGTCTGCAAAGAACTGAGCAAAGGCTTCACAGCGAGCTGCCGAGTCATCTGCCAGTGGTAGTTTCACAAGGTCTTTAGCCATCTGTGCCAGAGTGATGGTGCTTCACCAATGGCAGAGAAGGCTAAAGACTACAAGGATTCCATAACATTGAACCATGGCAGTTAAAGGGTTGCCAAGGGAGAAAAGGGGTCCAGTTTTGTCTTTGCAGGTGGAAGGAAAGGGTTAATTTTTGGTTTGGTGCCCAGAAGCATAATGGACTTCACAACCCCTTCATTCCCTGTTACAGAACCTCAGTTTGTTAATAAAGTGAGACTGAAGGAGAATCAGAAGCCAAAAGAGGATTCTTAAGTGTGTTCATTAGCTTCAACTTTGAGTATTACTTGAACCTTGGTTTGGGATGAGATTAAAATGACATTGCAGAGTAAATTGTGCTTTTATTCATGTCCAGGGAGCCTCCAAGGTGAATTAGCCTATGGTGTGATAGCCTACCTAATTACTCCTAATTCATTAAACATTTCAACAACATAGAATTATAGAGTTGGAAGAGACCACATGGCCCTCCAAGTCCAACCCCTTGCCATGTAGGAAAAGCACAATCAAAGCAACCAGAAAGATGGCCATCCAGCCTCTGTTTAAAAGCTTCCAAGGAATATATTTCCATCACACTCGGAAGCAGAGAATTCCACTATTGAACAGCTTACATGGCCAGGAAGTTATTCCTAATGTTCAGGTGGAATCTCCTTCAGTAATTCAGTAATGATTTTGTCATAGGAATTCAAGTTAATTTGTTTCACATGTCTTTGATCCACCACTAAATTAATTTGAGATAGCTATTTTGCATTAAGGGCTTCATCACAAAGGCCAGGTGAAGCATGCCAATTCGCCTGGCTTAGTGGAGAAAAGAAAGGGTCAGCAGGGCAAACCTGTCACCTCATGTGCAGCTCCCTCTTGGTGACATTTTCCCCATCACACAGAGGAAGTTGCACCCTTCTGAGGACGTTCTGTGCTGGTTCCATCAGAGCCAGCGCAGCATGGCAAGCTTCTATATTATGGGAGAAGCCTCTGGTGATGCTTTCACCCTGGTTGTGGGTGGGGTCTCTACCAAATGTCACACGGCAGAGCAGCTGAACTGTGGGAGAGTGAAATATAGCTATGGAGCTAAGGACTGGGGGATCATCACAGCTGCATGAATGCAGAGAACTGAAATAGTGAGCATGTTCACTCCAGTATGTTGCTGCTATCAGTGTTTGAATAACTGTTGTGGGATAGCAGCTATGTATGATAAAGACTCCTTTGTTATTTAGCATTGCAGACCCATGACAGAATTTAAGGGAGTTATATGAAGTTAACATCTTGCTGATGTGCCGTTTTCTTTTGTTCATAAAGTTTAAAATACATTATACAATAAACTTGCCTATAGGAATTATAATTTCTTTTTTCTAAACTGTCTCAGAAATTCATTTTTCTTCATGAATATAATACAAAAAATGCATTAGCACATGTTCTCTAGCTCTACAATGATCTGACAAACATTTAAAAAACAGGGGAAACCCACTCCAAACTGTTTCCAGGAATGGAATGGGTTATTAACATGTTTAGCAACTGCTGACCTAATTTGCTATCTAGATCTATCCCTATCTTTTTGGACTTTAATCTCTCTCTGATGGAAAAGGCAAACAAGTTTTCACTTCTTGTAAGTGGAGAAAAGTCTTTCCACATTTAAGAATGATGTGTGACATCAGGGGGAGCAAGAGAACGTTGTGTTACCAATACATTATTTAATTGTATTGCTTATTTTACAGAGGAGAAAAAATGCTACTCTCTACACAGGAAACCTGCTTTCTGCATAAAAGTGTTATTTGAATTGCTGTTTTCTGTAGAGTAAAGAAAATGCCATATCAAAGTTTATCATCACATAAAAACTCAAGAACAACAAATAGTTTTCAATAACAAAGTTTTTGATGGCTTTATTGCAGTGAGAGGCAAAGTAGTAAAACTGCTATTACCTGCGAGTTAAAAACTGACATATTTACATTTTCCAGATGTTGTTGGAAGACAATTTGTAGCATTTATCACTATTGGCAATGCTGATGAAAGAAGTTGGAAAATGCCTTCCAATAGCATCCAGATAATACATTATTTCTGTCCTTCTGATACACTAAAACTGAGGTGTTAGAGAGGGAATTAACATACTACCTTGACATGCTTGTTTTCTATGTGACTTGAGTGCTTCATAGACTGGAGGACATCTGTTTGGTATTTGATGTGCCATGTTCAGGCTATACGTAGTTTTATGAAGGGAAGAGTGATTCAATTATCATCCTCTTTCTTCTTCGGTGTTAAATGAAACAGTCTACGGTCTAAAAATACATGTGATACTGTTTCTTTCTTTCCTAAGATCTTGAGATATGCAGCTTCATTGTTTTTGCATCCTTGTATTGGGAGTAACACTGGCAACACCACTGGACCCTGAGCTATGCAGATGTGATGAAAAAGTAAACACGTGCATGGTTGTTGCTGGGAGTAATGGATTGCCAGGCACTCCTGGAAGTCCTGGTCTCCCAGGAAGAGATGGCAAGGATGGTGCACAAGGAGAAAAAGGAGACCAAGGTACAATACAAGCCATTTGTATGACAAATGCACAAAATGAGCATTAGGCAAAGAGCCATTGTTCACTAAGTTACACTCCCCCTGAAGGCGCAGGTTCGCAGTTTGGGAGTGATCCTGGACTCATCGCTGAGCATGGAACCCCAGGTCTCAGCAGAGGTCAGGGGAGCTTTTGCACAATTAAAACTTGTGCGTCAGCTGCGCCCGTACCTTGGGAAGTCTGACTTAGCCACAGTGGTCCATGCTCTGGTTACATCCCGTATAGACTACTGCAACACTCTCTACATGGGGTTGCCTCTGAAGACTGCCCAAAAACTGCAATTAGTCCATCGAGCAGCAGCCAGATTACTAACAGGAGCAGTGTACAGGGAGCATACTACTCCTCTGTTGCGCCAGCTCCACTGGCTGCCAATTATCTTCCAAGCACAATTCAAAGTGCTGGTGTTGACCTATAAATCCCTAAACAACTCAGGCCCAGTTTACCTGTCCAAACGGATTCTTCCCTATGAACCATCAAGGTTGTTAAAATCTTCTGGAGGGGCCCTGCTCTCGGTCCCACCACCCTCGCAATCGTGTCTGGTGGGGACGAGGGACAGGGCCTTCTCGGTGGTGGCCTCTCGGCTCTGGAACCCTCTCCCATTGGAGATTAGATTTGCCCCTTCCCTCCTAACCTTTAGAAAATTGGTGAAAACCTGGCCCTGGAACCTGGCATTTGATGAGTGAGTCAATAACCCTTGACCGCATGGACGGATGGTGATGAATTATGATTTTATTCTGATGACTTGGCCTTATGCAATTATATGATTGTATTTTAATGTGTTTTTATAGGGTTTTATAGGATGTGTTGTTTTAACTATTGTGTATGAACTTCTCTGTTGTAAACCGGCCTGAGTCCCTCGTCGGAGGTGATAAGACCGGTATATAAAAGTTCTAAATAAATAAATAAGTTACTTTGAAGAATATAGTCCCAAGATGCTCTCAGACATCATGGACTATGCTGGCTGAGGGACTCTCAAGATTATTGTCAATAGCCTAAATCCAACTGTTGGTTCCAATGCTGAAACCACCATACCACACCAATAAAAGCAATTCAAAACAATGCAATGGAAATCTCATTGCCATTTTCTTACTCAAATTTCTTCCAAACAAATATTTTTATTTCCTCATTCATTTGCCCTTTCTGTCCATTCTGTTAATTTACAGGATTACGGGGAATCCAGGGGCCCCCTGGAAAAGCAGGACCTCCAGGTTCTAAAGGAGATCAGGGTGAAAGGGGTGAAAAGGGTGAAAAGGGTGATTGGGATGGCACAGGTAAGACACAGTAAAATACAAAGACAAAGAGATTTTATTAACTTTGCTTAGTTTTCATGTGTAATGTTATATGTGTAACCCTACTGGAGAATATGCCCCAAAAATTATATGAATTTTCAGATGCACATCTGGATCCCAGATCATAGGGGAATAAACCCACATCAATCACAGTCATTATATAGCCCCTAAATTATGGGCTAAGTCAAGACCGCAAAGACAGAATAGTCATGGCCGAGTAACTACAATTTATGCGTTTGTGACTGTGACAAAAGATTTCAACCTCGGTTTTTGGTTGCACTGCAAGAAACGACAAAATCCAGGATGAATAAAAAAGCAGTGTCTTGCTTGCAATTGATCCTTCTTGCTGTCATTCTAAAGCCTTCTATATTTTAACTAAAACTAAAAAAAGTTAATCCTTTGGACAATGATTTTTGGAATGTTTCTGCCAATCATCAGACAGACTCCAACCTTGGCAGTCTTCAGGAGGAACTTGAAGACGTGGCTGTTCCAGTGTGCCTTCCCAGAATAATGATCCCATAGCACTTTGTTCTCCAAAGCACTTTATATTTTCTGGGTCTGCTCGTATGCCCTTCTATAAACACCTGCACCATCCTCTGTTCATGTCCCAGCATATTTCCAATTTTAACTTTACATTTGGCCTCCCCTCTGTTTTTAATTGTGTGTTGTTTATTGATAATGTTGTTTATCTTATTGTTTATGTTTATGTTTTTTAATTGCTTGTATTGTGATTTTATTGCTTGTATTGTTGTGTTCGGGCTTGGCCTCATGTAAGCCACACCGAGTCCCTTGGGGAGATGGTAGCGGGGTACAAATAAAGTTAATAAATAATAAAATAAATAAATTAACTTCTCCAAGCTGCTGATTTTCCAAGCTCTGATTTTAATACCAACAAGAATAATTGTGGGGTTTTTTTTTACCTTTCAGAACTTGAAGTTCTTAGGACTCATGTTAGTGTTTTAGAAGCAGAATTGAAAGCTCTGCAAATGTCTACACGTAAAACTCATAGAGGTAAGAGAGGAAGCTGTCCGTGTACCTTTGATAACAGTTACATAGGTTTCCAAGGACTTTATCACATGAAGCCACTACTACATGGTAGCTGTACTAGAATTAATACAGATATATGAGAATACGTTTACCAGGATGAGTACCTATAAGATCACACTTCCTTTCATTCAGGCAATTCTACTGATTTACCCATTTGTAGTCCCATTATCATACTTTTGCATACCCTTTTAACTCTGCAATTCCAGTAATCTACACATTTTGATTTTTGAATGATTTTACACTATATAAAAAGTAAATAAATATACATCAACTATAATAAGTAAACACAAAACAGACAATTGGGAATAGTGAGGGAGAAAGAATAATATCCCCTGATATCACGTTACTGCTGACATAGTGCCATAGAAGCAGAATGGACCCATCACACAAGATAAGTGATTGGAACATTACAGGATTGCAAGTTATTAATGGTTATTGGTTATCAATAATGAGGATGGGTTAATCGTGGGGAGGAGGCAGATTGGCAGTAGGATGTATACACCATATTGTGATGGGGACCATCAACAACAATGACAGTCCAGCTTTAATGCCAGTTTGCATAAGTCATGCAATAAAGTCCCAAGAATGTATTCCCTGATAATACACACTGCTCATGTGATAAAATCACATGTGTGAGCAACTAAATTGAACTCTGAACCATATCCAAATTGCTATATTGGATATTTGTAATCAAAACTGGTGTCTGAAGTGCTAACTTTGATTCCATTTTCTGCCAGCCTTTCTTGGCTATATTTTTCCAAACAGTACAAATGTTGGAGCCAAAATATTTGCAACAAATGGAGCCGAAGCTGACTTTCAGACTTCAAAAGAGATGTGTGATCAATTTGGTGGCCAGATTGCTTCTCCAAGGAATGAAGAAGAAAACAATGCCGTATTAAAACTTGCAACAATGTTTGGAAAACATGCATTTCTCGGCATGAATGACCAAGAGACTGAAGGAATTTTTAAGCATCTAAATGGTAATCCTATGGAATATTCAAATTGGGCAGAAGGAGAACCCAACGGGGAACATGAAGACTGCATTGAGATATATTTGAATGCCAAGTGGAATGATAATACCTGTGATAAGCATCGGCTAATAATGTGTGAATTTTAATCTGACTTGTCTTTAAGAGTATTTCTAAATCTAAACTGACAGGGTTCATGGAGTTACTAAATAAATAATTATGTTTTCAAGACATATGTAATTCAGTATCCTGGCAAAGATCCCTTCCATATTGAGATTCAAGAAAGAGCAAAATTTTAAAATGTCACCATGATTGTGCAAAACTCAAATAATTCAACATATGTTGGACCAATTCATAGAATTTAATACCGCAGGCTACTTCTTCACACTAGATAATGAATCTACTTTAAATCTGGTTTCTGCCTCCTGTAGAATTCTGGGGTTTGTAGTTTATTGAGGTTGTTAAAGGCTTTCTTCCCTAAACTACAAACCCCAAAATTCTGCAGGAGGCATCAACCGGATTTAAAGTGGATGCATTCTCTAGTGTGATGAGGTCCAGAGAGAGTAACTTGCCCAAACTCTCCTAGGCGGGTTTCTGGCCTAGGAGATTTTGGCTGGAAACCCACCTAGAACATTCTGTATTACAGTGGTTCTCAATCTTCCTAATGCCGCGACCCCTTAATACAGTTCCTCCTGTTGTGGTGACCCCCAACCATAACATTATTTTCATTGCTACTTCATAATTATAATTTTGCTACTGTTATTAATCGTAATGTAAATATCTGATATGCAGGATATATTTTCATTCACTGGACCAAATTTGGCACAATACCTAACAACCCAATGTATGTCCTTCACTCAAAAATGTTTGATTTTGTCATTTGGGACTGGTAGTTGCTGGGATTTATAGTTCACCTACAATCAAAGAGCATTCTGAACTCCCACAATGATTGAACCAAACTTGGCACACAGAACTCCCATGACCAACAGAAAATACTAGAAGGGTTTGGTGGGCATTGACCTTGGGTTTTAGAGTTGTAGTTCGCCTACATCCAGAGAGCACTGTGGACTCAAACAATGATGGATCTGGATCAAACTTGGCACGAATATTCAATATGCCCAAATGTGAACACTGGTGAAGTTCGGGGAAAATAGACCTTGACATTGGGGAGTTGTAGTTGCTGGAATTTATAGTTCACCTACTACCAAAGAGCATTCTGAAGCCCACCAACGATAGAATTAGGCCAAACTTCCCACACAGAACTCCCGTGACCAACAGAAAATGCTGTCTGTGATGGTCTTTGGTAACCCCTCTGATACCCCCTCGCGACCCCTTCAGGGGTCCCAACCCCCAGGTTGAGAACTACTGGGCTAGAACATTAATGCTGTAAATATAGAGGGGGGGAGGAGGAAATATATTTTCCTGTTTGGTAAGGACATTTTGGCTAATACGGCTATTTTCAGATAAAGGTGAAATGTGGGTATTTTTTTTTTTTGCTCACCTACTTAGTGGCATGAGGAAAATGATATATAATCTTTCCTGCTTACATCTAACCAAAAGGCGTGGCTGGGGGCTATCCTGTCCCAGTAACTACAAGGATAGCCCCTAGCCACCCCAGAACCCCACAAATAAGCCCTAAAAACTTCTTTAAACTTACAGGGCCTCCATTAAGGTAGTCCTGGAGTGTTCCAGTTGCATAGAAATGTGTTGGACGATTGGAGGGATTGCTCCTCCCCCCCACAAAAAAATAAATTTCTGGCACTTTATTTCTATGTACCAGGAGGACTTCACGACCACCTTGAAGACAGTGTGATAAGTTTTTAAATTTTAAGGGTAGTTTTTGGTGCTTGGGGGGAGAGAGTGGGCTCAATCTCACAACTTTGGACTCCAGGAGCCCAGAAGGTATGAGATGACAATGGGGGCGAGTCCCCACAGGTCCAATACCCCATTTGACCCATGTCTTTCACAAGGCCCGAATCTAATGGGATATCTAATTAATTGACAACAAAATGGGGAACCCTGCTTTGTTCCAAATTAATTTGCTTTTAGCTGAGGTGTTGTTTAGACACCTCAGTTAAAAGCCCGACCGGCCCCTCATTTTTGAGCCTCTCTGGAGTACATATTTATCTTTAAGGGCCCTGACAAGAATTAAAACTGGTTCCTAAGCTTCAGATTCGTTTTAAAAAAAGAAACCGCAAAACTGTAAAGGAAAGAAAAACAGAGCGATAAAGATAATAAAAGCTAATGTTTTGGGTAAACTTAACCAGGAGGAAGGATTAAGAAATGTTATTTGTATTGGCTATTTAATAATTTTTTTTAATAATACAACAAAAGAGTGGGAACAATAACAATATAGAAAGAGAGAAAAAGACATATATAAGGGGGGGAGTGAAAAATGAAGAAAAAGAACACAAAAAGGTACAAAAAGAAAAAGATAAAAAAGAAAATTGACTTCCATTCCATCTTCTTGGTTAATGTCTTTTTATTATTAAAAAATATTCCCTAAAAAAGTAAATGTCTATCGTGTCTTCTGTTTTTGCAATTTCTCCAGGTAGCTGTGGAGGGGGGTCCCAATTTGTTCTTTTTAACGTATTAACCATATTCTTTTTCAACAAAAAAGTCAATTCATCCATGTCCATAATTTCCCTAATTTTTCCTATTCACTCTTCTATAGGTGGATTTAATTCTTGCTTCCGTTCTCTTGCAAAGACAATTCTGGCGGCAGTTGTGATAAATGTAAAAAGCTTATCTTCTTGTTCATTTAGTTGTAGATCTAAATCTGTAAACCCAAGTAAATAGTACTCCGAGTTTTTGTGAACTTTATTTTTAAAATCTTCTGTACTTCTTCGTGTATTTCTGTCCAAAACTTGGATGCTACTTTACATGTCCACTACATATGGAAAAAGGATCCAAGTTGCTCATGGCATTTCCAACACTTATCTGAAGCTGTTTTATGCATTTTGGCTA